GATACAACAGACAAATAGATTTAAATTAGTTGCTAATTGATGATTGCTTGGTTTCCAATTTCAGGAGCTTCGGATTCTATGCCAAATTTCATTGTACGCTTTGCACTCACTCTATGCAAATAAATTCGAGTTTACTATTTTTATTTTACATACATATGTATTATATGCTGCTTCCTGGGTTTTGAAAAGGGACTTGTAAATTGTCTCTATCTGAGTTTATTGAAACGCTTTTTAAGAACTGATTAATTTAATAGAGACAGAGGAGATATTTGTCATTCTGTTAGCTGGCTTACAAATGATTTTGACCTTGTTGCTTGCGACTTTTGGCGGCCCAGATTCTTTTGATGATGCGACAACTGCTGTTGAGGGCGTTGGAACTCCAGCCACTGCACTCCAGCTTGACGGTGCATTTGCTGATGCCAGCGCGTGCGATACTTGCTAAGAGCGGCACAGGGATATGCTAGCTGAAAGATAATCTATGAGAGAGAAATGAGAGAATCACAGAATGTAGCCCAACCCACATATGTGGGGTATTTGCATTGGAGACTACCTTGGAGACTTAGATAGAAAGACTTGGAGACAATCGTATAATTCGAACACTTATATTTAAGAATGAAACGTGGTCAGATATTAGAAGTTTCACGACTATCAACAAAGCAGATATAAAAGTGAGGAACATGAAAAGCATGAAAAATGTCAAAATCCGTCTTAAATAGTTATTCTACAAAACTATTTTTCCCAAAGAGTCAGGCATCAAATTGGTGCATCATCCAACTTCAGAGAAGTTTACAGTGAACCATATATATAATCGAAAATATTTATATTAAATACCAACCACTATCGGGAATTTCAGTTTCAAACCAATTAAAAGAAAAATAAAAAAACCTCATGGGAAAAATGCAGCTTGAACAAAAGAAAATAGGAAAACGGCAAGTGGCGAATAGAAACTCTAAAACAGAATTCAAATTAAAATGGCGTTTGGAAGCAAAAGCACCAAATTCTATGACGTTATTAAAGGGAGAGGTCGCCAGCAAAATTGGTCTATAGACAACAAATTACACGAATTGCGTAAGCCAATTACTTTCCTTCATAGATTATAATTACCAAGCGAATCATCTGCAAATGTTAAACGGAGAATGGTCAATAAACTACTAAATTCATTTATCCGAAGCGTGGATATGCGGCCGCGGCTTCCTTCTCTATTTTTGGCCAATTGTGGCCAGTTGCTCTTTTTTTCTTCTCTTCTTTCTCTTTCTTCTGTCTAAATGATTTGAGAAATATACTATCATATAACTTCTCCTCATTCAAAAAACTCAATCAGCAGAGATTTCTTAGGTACCTTAATGAATTAACTGACTTGCAAAAATAATAATCAAACTGTCAGCAATTGAGCTCGTTACCAGTAACCGGCTACACACTCTTTCTCTCTCCTCTCGCTCTGAGCAATCCCTTCCTGCTCGAGAATGGACCGAGACATTTTTTACATTCTAAATGTTAAATTCCACTCGGCTTGGGGACACGGCGGCACACACGGAGACATGGACTCCTGCTAAGCTTCGTAATTTTTCGCGAATGCCAACGCCGCCAACACTTAATTAAAATGGCATCCGGCTGAGGCAGCAGAAAAAATTCCCCATCTGCGCATTGAACCTCCTTTGCATCATACCAATCCTTTCCCTCTGCCAATTCTTCTCTGAGTAAGCGAATTTACTTCCCGCTTCTTGGCCTTTGATTGATATGCCAACGAAGCGAAGGCCGAGCTCCACGATGGAGAGCTGCAACCCCAGACCTAGACCCAGACAGAGAGAGACACCTCAGCAAGTATGTAGAGCCCAAAGCAGAGCAATGAAGGAAGGTGGAACAAATTTAGTTCGTTAGCTATTATGCGAAGCAGGACAATACCATATATTGCGGCCCACTCGTCGGCACAAAGTCAACGAAAGCAGATGGGGCCAGGTAAATGGCCTAATTGAAGCGCCAAGCGGCCCAATCGCAACCGCTTTTAGTTCTCTTTTCCTCGGTTCGCCTCGGTTGGGGCCTGACTGTATTTGGTCTGACCAGAAATTTCGTTTCCTTTTCCTAAAGCCGCCTCAACAAACCAAAACATCGAGCATACATGTGGCAAAGAGAGGATGGTGGAAAAGTATGTAGCCCTAAAATCAAAGGGATTTTCTCTTGTTTGGCTTTCGAATCTCCTGCGGGTGCATCAGCAGGTTCTGCAACAAATTAGGAACAATCATAGCTCAAGTGAATAATGAACAGAACAAAAATATTTGTAGAAAAATCCGCCCGTGTAAATTTTATTCATAATATGCAGCTCTTCATTAATTTTACAAATTTAAACTCAATCCAAAGTATTCCTTTCATTAAATGAGGGTCATTCCTTCTTAAGGTCCAATGCAGATAATTTCTCAGTCGGTGATTTTTCAACAGCCTCTTATTTCCTCGTATGGGCGGGACATGAGAAGGCGTGGTTGAAAAACTGCAGTTAAATCCCCTTTTTGTGCTGATTTCAGCAGCTTTCCTGAGGTTAGCTTTTGGTGTGTTGAAAAACTATTTTACAGCTAGACAGTGGGAAAACAGAAACCTCAGCACACAATTTTTATACCCGATACTCAAAATGAGTATTGGGGTATATTAGATTTGTGGTACAAGTGGATGTGTGTAACGTCCAGAAGGAATCGTTTCCGACCCTATAAAGTATATATATTCTTGATCAGCATCAATAGCCGAGTCGAATGAGCCCTGTCTGTCTGTCCGTCCGTCCGTCTGTCCGTCTGTCCGTCCCCTTCAGCGCCTAATGCTCAAAGACTATAAGAGCTAGAGCAACGATGTTTTGGATCCAGACTTCTGTGATATGTCACTGCTCCAAAAATATTTCAAAACTTTGCCCCGCCCACTTCCGCCCCCACAAAGGGCGAAAATCTGTGGCATCCACAATTTTAAAGATACGAGAAAACTAAAAAATCGCAGAATCGTAGAAGATGACTATATCTTCTGGAGTGCAAAATCTGAACCAGATCGTATAATTATTACAGCCAGAATCACGAAAACAATTTCACTCTTTCTCGCTCTGTCTCACTCTAACACACAGGTTTCATGGTCGGTTTTGCCAATTGCAAAATATGAGTTCAAGGATCTCAGAACCTATAAAAGCCAGAGCAACCAAATTTGGTATCCACACTCCTGTGATATCGGATCTTGACCGTTTCATGTCCAAATTTCGCCACACCCCCTTCCGCCCCCGCAAAGGACGAAAATCTGAGGCAACCACAAATCTCAGAGACTATTAAGGCTAGAGTAACCAAATTTGGTACACACACTCCTTTAAGATGTCACTATAAAACGTATATCCCAGAATTTCGCCCCACCCCCATCCGCCCCCACAAAGGACGAAAATCTGTTGCATCCACAATATTGCAGATTCGAGAAAACTAAAAACGCAGAATCATAGATAACGACCATATCTATTAGATTGCTGAATCTGGATCAGATCAGATCATTTTTATAGCCAAAAGGAACAAATCAATTTGCAGTGGCTACGCAGCGCCCGACGTCACGCTCAGACTGATTTTCTGTCTCTCTCGCACGCACTCTTTGTCGTGTCGTTAAATATTAGCGGCGTCTGCCGGAGGAGAGCCATACTGACTTAGTATCGGGTATAACCGTAGAGTTGCGGTGTCCGCAGCAACTCACAACGTTCCCCCTCGTTTTTGTTTAATTCTCTGATTTAAAGTGTCCTTATATTCTCCTGCTACGGATCGGTTCCAGTTACGATTCCTCCTCCTTCGACTTGTTTCTCTCTTGTTGAGAATTAGCAAAAGCCTTTGGTCATTCATCAATTGGATGCAACTCTGTCAGCTGTAGAATCTTAAATTGCCGCACACATTTCGTTAGTTACCAAGAGAGATAGGGATTGTATTGGGCTATGAATAAGGTAGTATAAAAGGGGACAGGGCGTAGAAGAGGTTCTATTGTGGCTCTTTCCGCCTTGCGTTTCTTTCGCAAACGCTTCCTGCTATTTCGGGTTGCTGGATTTCTGGCCAACTCCCTGCAAAGTCGCTGCCCACTGCCTGCCTCCTTTAACTCTCTCCCTTCAATTTTGAAAAAAGTGTCTGCTATCATTTCTTCTCCGCGAAGTGTGGCTGTGAGCTACCACACATAATTCAGAGCTTCCTTGCTCGTTCCCTTTCTTTGCAGAAATTTGAATACGACAAAGAAGTGTATGAAATTCAGATAAAGTCAAACTGCCAGTTCCCATGAAGTTCCAGTTCAACTTCCAGATGCAGCTTCAGTCCTTCCATCCTTCTACTTATTTGTCCACATCTTGACTTTTTCGTTTTATCTGTTTCCTTTTTGGGGGCAATTCATTTGCACAAAAAACTATGCGACTTTCCCATCCGTGCGATGTTTTGGACCGGAAAACGGAAGCTATATCGTCCGGAGGATCGGGGGAGAACTGTAACTTTCAATCATTAAGCTGATACTCATCGCTGATACACATTGAATCACTCGGTATATGTTGATTACCAGCCCGAGAATTCTTAACAAGAGGGGGAAACGAAACCGTCCGCAGAAATTAAAGAGACAAGTGCTACAGGAAGTTTAATTTCTACAAAATCAAAGAAAACGAAAACCCATTCTATGTCTCAGGCTCGGATAAAATTATAGTATATTTGGGCAGTGGCAGAAATCTAGACTTATTTGAACTAAATAAATAAATGAAGAATATAGGACTCGCTTCGGATTGCGATGCATTAAATAGCCTTGCACCATGATTTGTAGGGAAACCATATCATATAGTACTCTGACTTAGAATTATTATCCAATGATTTATTAAGAAAAATATGAAACTATAGTTCGCAGCGTTCGGGATTTGTGTCATCTGAGACTGTCTATGCAAATCTAGTTAACTAAACAAAAAATGCAAAAACCACCGAAATACACACATTCGAGAACTAATATTTACAGAGGTGTAGATCGGGACTCCAGTCACTTACTCCTGATATGGCCTGTTTGTCGTTGAAGAGCGTCGTTGCATTTGCGGCGGATGAGGTCGACGAGCTGGCCACCGTGGCCATGGAGCTCTCCGGTCAGGAAAGCGAAGCCTGCAAAAAATTATGGAAAGGAAAACGTATTAAAATTTCTTTTTAAATTTCAGTATGAAGTTAACAGAATTTAGGGTACGAACTGTACGAAGTATAGATCTCCAACAGATCAGCTGCTGGGAAATCAAGCTGAGGTGCTTGCCAGCTGTCTCCATCCTTGGCGCTGAATGATAAAGCTAGATACATTGACGATTTGACGATTTTCCGACATTTATTTTGTCAACAAACTTCAGAGAGTGAACATCGTTACCCTTTGAAGGAGTAAAAAATAGTTCAATCTGTTCTGGTTCTGGTTCATCCACGGACTGTCGCTGCTCCTGGAGGCTCTGGCTCTGGCTTTGCTCAGAGCGCAGGATCATCAGTGGCCCAATCCGGCTTTGGACCACTACAAGCGGAACAGCAGGCTGCTCCGGGTGGATTTTGAGCCTAGCCTGTGTTTGGGGGTTCTCCGGCCTTCGGGGCCAGTCCCACCTTTGGGGAAGGCGCAACGTTTGGCAATTTCAAAGGATTTGGCGGCTATGGAGCCAGGCGGCAACATCTTCGACACCTTGGGTGGACAGAAATCTGGCTTGTCCTTTGGCAATCTGGCCCAGACCGGCAAAGCCAATGCCCACAAGCCTCCTTTTCCTGTTCCGTGTTTCATTTTGTTACTCAATTAAGGCTGGGATGCCATGTGGTGTGTTTTAACTGGAAGTGCATACAATTTCCAAGGTTTCCAGGCTTTGCGTGTGGAACGCGTCAACGTGTTTAGCACAGTTTTGTGGCCATTTTCATAAATCCGTGTAATTGTTTCTCTTTTCTGTTTCACTGTCGAGCTGTGGTGACTGTCGGGCGGTCCTCTGTACCCTCCCTCATTCACTCCTCTGCCACTGTTCACCATACGGCTATAACACAAGGCGGACCCCGTGTCAGGTCAGACCTATTTGCCGACATGGAGATGGAGTCGGCCAACGCAAACCCCATCTATGACATGCGGTTTAAACGTCACCCAATCCTGCCCCTTCAACCGACTGTCTGCTCAGCCCTTCCACTCCTATAGGTGCAACAACAATTATATTTAATTTTTAGGCACGTTTAGGCCAGGCATGAACGCTTTCGAGTCCATTCTTGGTGGCTTTTTGTCTGGCAACATACCTCTCACAGGCCACAGCATGCAACACGTCAAAAGTTAAACAACAAGCGTCGGCCGTTGACTGTCAGCGCGGTCTAAAAACATAAAAACTGTCGGCACATTGCTAAAATTCCAGGAAATTATTAGGAGCTCTCTAGCAGGAAAGGCGGGGAAGAGAAGCAGGGTGGACAACTGCCAGTAATTAAAATGAGTAAAATATAAGAGGAACAGCAACGAGCGCAAAACGGCTGACCAAAGAGTCTGGCTAGCGTAATGAGTTTATTAATTAATAAAAATCACCCTCTTGCCCGCCCTGAATTTTCCAATAATGGAATTCGGCGCCACGCACTTACTGCAGGTCAGTTACTTCTTCAGTGAAGAAGAGCAACGAAATAATCAGCTACAGAAGAGAAGGAATAGAGTGAACACACTCAATGCCATTCATGAATATGCGGATGTGTGTGCAGGTCCATTGCGAAACAACTCCTCGAATTTACAGGAACGCATATCTTAGAAAAGATGCATCATGTACATATATCCAATATTTATAGTAACTACTTCATTGATGCGCCTTAGAGTTCTACAGCTCTTTAGCTAATCTTCCTTTTTTTCCAGAAACATGATAACAATAATTCTGCCTGGTTTTGCCAATACTGTGGGATTACTTTATCATAGAACCACCCATGAGTCTGAAAAGCTTTCTGCACAACGTTTCTAATTTTTTCTGACTTAAAATGAATAGTATGGGAATTATTTAATCTGAATTCTATAGAACTTTCTCTCAGTGCACCTCTGTCCCTCTATTATTGGTGTGTGCTCCTCCTTGTTTTGCCCGTTTTTTTTGTAGTCGCGATAATTTGCGACAAGTGCGTATTTTGCTCTGGCCTTTTGTAGAAAGAAACTTGAGTACCAAGGCAGTTAAGTGGCTGCAAATTGGTATCGTTTAAAGGGCCACCACCACCCCATTTCCACTCGCAAAGCTGCCCCTACAACGTTGTTAACTGCGTTGTTAGCTGCTGGTCAAAGCAATTATTTGCAAAGTCCTTCTCCCACCCAAACAGAGCAGAACAAAGGCGAAAGGTCCAACACCTCTATTCGGATGGATGTGCAAATTCATCTCTTTGAATTTATTATCCCACATTAACCACTTTCACTGCCATAACTTTCCGCTTATGTGGCTTTCAGTTATGTTCAGTTTCAAAACTGAACATGTTGTATATGAATGTACATATATGAATACTACGACCCTATAGAGTGGATACTCTCGATTGATTTTCAGAAATAGATGAATATTTCCATCTGGGAGTCCGCACGTCGGTAGGTAGGGTAGGTAGGTAAGGTAGGGTCTTTTAGAAAAACACTTCAGCATTTTTACAATAAAATATATATATATTAAAAATAGCATTGTATTAAAAAAATGTAAATTCATTCTTTATTTTTATTGAGATAATTATAATATGAGCTTGAAAATCTTTTTAGTCAATTTAATTCATAGTTCAACACCTAAACATGGTAATTTGAACAATCCTGCCAACATCATCCCATGCCTGCCAGACTATCTTTATATTTTTCTTCATGAATAACAAAGAAAAAACTATTTCAAATACAAACTTGTATGATTTTCCTCGCATACGAGGGGGCTGTAGCTTTCTCTAGTAAGGTACTTAAGTGACGTGGCAGTAGTGCTGGTCTGATTCGTTGAGTGCTTTCCAATTGGCATCGTTCAACAGGCCACCCATTGCCCCTCCCAAAGCGTCGTCTACAAATTTATAAGCTGAGTTGTTAGCTGCTGGGAAAGGCCGATGGGAAAGGCTATCCTATCTACGAGTCTGCATTTCAAGACTCATCTCTCTGCAAATTTATTAACCACTTTTTCTGGCAAAACTTTGAGCTCATGCGGCTTCGTTATATGCCTCCGAAGGATAATTTTGTGGGCACTTAAACTTTTCACTCCTTCGGACCTGTTTTGCGGCTGGCCAGATGACCAGGGTAAGGCGCATACTCGTGTATTTACCTTTGAGCAACCCGTTAATGAATCACTTTCGCCCATCCCCTGACCACAGACTACTCGTAGAACACCACAAGGCACCACTTTCGAATAGATTTGGTTCCCGTTCTTTGGGTGCGGACCGGACCCAAATTTATGGTTTTCCTGCGATTGTATTGTAGAAGCCACAAAGACTACGAAAAGTAGAGACTTTCAAACTGGAACCAAACCAGCGACAACTAAAAAATCGAATTGGTTTAATTCTGTCTGCCTCTCTTAGGATTCTAGCATCTACTTTGGTTGCGCACCTAGTCTCTTTTTCTGATTCTCTAGGTAGGAGAAATGAAATATCAAACACCAGAAATATTCAAATAAGATTTTACTATCCAATTTTACAATATTTAATATTTATTATTATTTTATTATTTGTTATTGCTGCTCCCTTTATATTTGGATTAAATACAAGCCGTAATAAAATGACTTTGGAATAAATTTATATTTAAATCAAAGTTCATAATCATAACCGAATATTAAATTTAAATATGGTATATTATGTCTTACTATGAAACAATTAAATGCATGAGCAACGGGTCGAGCTGGGAAATATGTTACCCTTTCACGTAACAATCATGGATCTTATATCAATCCAGGATTAAAGATCAATCATAGATTATGTTGCTATCTTTTCTTGATGTCATCGAAAACAGCGTTAATTTGATTCTGATTGACCAATCATTCATCATTTATCTCTCCCTAGAAATTAAATTCCACTGCTGAACCCCATCTTGCTGTTAAAATTTTCTTCTACTTCGTATTCGTATGGCTCAGTCGATAGCTCCGGGCCTCACAAAAAACGAGGACCATATGCATTAGTTTTGGGACAGCTTTAAAGGAAAGGCAAATTACAGTAAACAATGAAACACAGACACATAAAAGTTGCAATGTGCAGCGGAGAGCGCACTTGGCAGAACCCTTGGTTTCCAGGGGGGAACTACTACTCCGAGCGGCTCAACGAAACGTACAGGCAACCAAACGGAAGCCCACGCTGCGGAAGTGAATTTCTTCGTTTCCGCTTCTACCACCATACGATGAGTGGAAGGAAGATGACTAAAAGTAGTAATAGGCCGAGTCGCGGCATAGAATGCACATGAAACAGATAGGGTAGGAAGAGGAGAGGCGGTCAACAAATCAAAACTAAATGACAAAAATACAAAGTAAATGACAGAAAAATCAACCCAAAAGTCCACAAAAACTGGCATAAAAATACTTGTACCATAGAAACTCACTCAGCGGAAATTTACTCCACATTCGAGTATGTCTGACTGCGCGACTGTGTAGAACTTTCGCTTCCGTAACGGAAGCTCATGAGCGTAGCCAGGAGGCACGCAGGGGCGAAAATGACTTGCAACTGCAAAAAAAATTCCTCGATAACTCTTAAATTGAAAACACGTAATTTGGGTTTATCTGTGTTCCCTGGCGTTAATGTGACTTTACAATAACTAGGAAATATGCTAGATATTTCTGTAATGGAAGAAATTTTTGTAACTGCGAAAGTGCATAGAAGGTCACTGGCAAATTCATCAGCCGCAGTCCTGCCACAAGCTCACGTCCTAGCACCCATTCCCCTCCCAAAAGAATATTTTGGCCAAGACTTGGCATTCAAATTAGAGTCGAAAATTATATTTGGACCACTTTCGCTCTTCAATTAGAAGCTGGGTTCCCGACGTCTATTCTGATTGCTTTTCGTGTATGCTTGAGTGCAGTTTGTAGTTATCTGTCAAGGGCAGACCTCAGTTGAGCCAGCCTGTTTTCTCAAAAGTATACTTACTTTATATCTACTGTATACGTATATGTATAGTAAGCAGGCCAGTGCCACCCATATATAATGCCACCCTCGACCAA